TTTTTTTTCCAACTTTAAAACCCCCCCACTAGGGTTTTGATAAACATCAAATGCTTTCCACTAGTACCTGGTAAAACCTACATTCAGTGCTTCAAGTAACGACTGCGTGTTTGTTTCATGTTTATGTGACCACGTCCACAGTTTAATAAACCTACATATACAAACACCATGTTGGTTAACCAAAAGAAATCATATCACAGATTAACACTAGTTCAAAATTTGACGAATTTGGTCATAACCGAAATTTAATTTCTACATACGATGGGTCAAATTAGAATATAACTATAATACAAGATACTAATGTTCTTTAGTTTTCACATTTATATATAAAAGAAAAAGGGTTAAGGCACTGTTTCAGCTACTTGAAGTATATTAATAAAGACATTTAATTTACAATGGCTGTTTCAAGCAAGTCAAAAACTGAAAGCCTCAAAAGTAGTGTGACGCGTGGTTCATCTATTACTTAGTTTAACTAAAGCAAGTTATGGCCAACAACGTTTCCTATCCCAACTCCACTGAGGCAACGGAAGTTGGTTCTACGAAACAAAGAATTCTTAATACATGCTACGTTTACTGATATACCGTATAATATAACGCTTTCCTTCGCTTTGAGACTTAAGTTGAAACATAATCAAATGTCACTGTATCCTTAAAAATGGCACCACTATCAGCCAACTATTTAGAAACTGAAAAGATACAAAATATATGACCGTAGTTGTCAAAAGCTTTCACTCAGCATATACTCTTATAACTGAACACTTTACAACTTAATTAAGATCTAATATACTATAACAAAAGGAGCAGAGGTTTTAAGCCATCACGGACCTGAGAACTGAGAAAATACAAAATGACAAGACAGTTATCTAAAAAACAAAGTTTGTATTTAAACAAAATCTACGACGTACGTCTGGGAACACAAATGTATCCTTGTCTTTACTTTTCTGTATATTGTTCAATTTTTTTACCTCATAAACATTTCAGCTACAGCGAAAACAAATGTAATACAATTTCCCATTCCAGGCTGGCTTGCTAAGTATTATTACAAATAAATCCCCCCACCCGATCACAGAATATCTTCGGTCAAGTTATTTGGTTTGAAACTTTAAATAAATAAGGACTGTTTGAAATTGGCGGTCAGGTCAGTAAATCCACGTCGCTGTCCTCATCTTGATACGTGTGAAGTACGTTTTCGTGAGACAACAAGACTACGTCGCTTTCTCTAGAGGATCCTGCCATCTGCTGGAGGGAGAGAGAGAGAGAAAATAGTTTCCGTTAATAAACTGTCATCTGTTACAGTGAAAAATATGTAGGTGGTGCAGCTATATTCACGTAAAGACACAAAACAGAAATCAAGATATTTAAATACAGCCCTCTCATTAACTACATTTGTCTAGCAGTCATTACAAAACATACTTAAATAAGTTTCTTTAAGTACCCAGTAAAAAAAACTACTTAAATAATACATCCGTTTAACAAACAGGTTTAAACAAGAGGGAATCCTCAATAGCCACGGCTCTTGAAATTATTTTAGGCAGAATCAGAGTAAATTAATTTATGAGACCTTTTTCTCCTATTTATTAGTTATATTTTTATGTATCAGCAATACAAAGGGGGCACACACATATACTCAATTTGATTTTATTACTCATCAGGATCTCTACCCTAAAATTGAAATTCTTTTAGGCAGGATTAGACTAAATTAATCTACGAGACTCTGGAGTAGTCAAATACATCAATCCAAAGGGTTTGACCTCCTGAGTCCAAAACTATAATTAGATCTCAAATCAGTCAAGAGATGACGAAGCTATGAGCTAAAAGTTTGTACTTGAAGAAAACTCGGTCGTTCTAAGAGCCACAGCTAAAAAAACTACCTTAACAGTATATCAGTTTATAAGCCAGGTAAAAATAAACTTGTGCACACCATGCAAGGTTCATTAATAGCTACATCAACAAATTACGTAGATCTTACGTTTTTTTCGAAGACTTTGAATCTTTAAAGAACTATTATTTATGATGAGAAAGAAACGTTTTTCTAATACATCTCTTTCTTTCACAGGACAGCAATTTGTGATAGAATGAAATGCACTTTTAGAAAAATCAATATTCCACGCCTGCACTATTCAAGGGTATGTTTAAAAACTGTAGTTAGAACCAAGTTATTCAGTCTTGTTAATAATATTGAAATAGTTGCTCCTTAAGAGTATAGCATTGGATGTCATTAATTGTTTATAGATTATTATATAAATATCAGTGTTAGTGAAATACTTTATATAAACTAATAGAAGCAGTTCAGCAGTAGAGAATATTAACGTTCATCGTTACTGAAATATTATCGCTTTCTTTGTAATGCTAGGAGTTAATTTATCATGTTGAAATTATCCTAAACTTCCATGTTAGTGGGTTAGAAATTAATGACTCTGTTCTGTACATTAGCACTAGCTGTTAAAGGAACTGGTTTTTTAGGTATTATTTTTTTAAACTGTTTTTAAACAAGTGTATTGTATAGGTCTGTGCAACCCAAACTTTTCCTCACATCCGAGCTGTACAAGCCTAACTTTTCCTCACCTCGTAACTGTACAAGCCTAACTTTTCCTCACCTCGTAACTGTGCAACCCAAACTTTTTCTCACATCTAAGCTGTACAAGCCTAACTTTCCTCACCTGATAGCTTTACAAAGTGAAGAAAAGTCAGGCTTGCACAGCTAAGAGGCAAAGGAGGAGTGTCTGTACAGCAAGAAAGTAAAGAAGAATTAGGTTTGTAGAGAAAGACAGCAAGGAAGAGCTAGGTTTTCGAAACTAAAAAATGAGGAATTAAGTTAAATATATATGGAAGATTTATATATATAAAATATTAATATGTTTACTCGTGTAATTACACCTCTCTATTCTACCATATTTTAATTTTATTTTTTCCATTGTTCTTTTTTCAAGGGAATCTATTACCATTGATTCTTTGTTTTAGAAATACTGACAGACATCCCATAAAATATGTAGATATTTTCCAACTCAAAATGGGATCAGAAGTTTTTTTTTAAATAGATCTGGAATGAGGAAAACAAAATACTAAAACAGCAAACTACACGCAGTAAGTCCAAGAAATGTTTTTTCTATTTAAATCTCTCAACACAAGCTTGGTCGATTTGACCGACCACGTGACCTCTTTGTACTTGTTTAAAGTCTTTATAGACTTGATAATACAAACTTTTAAATTAGTAAGTACATCTTCACCAAATTTGGCAGTCTTTCAGTAAACATTACAAGTCACATTCAAAAGTCATTCTTTAGTGAAGTATTTTAAATAAACTAAAAAAGATTTGTCTGTAAATATATTGAGTATTTGTTTTGAAAGATTAAAAATACTTTTCTTCATCAAAAAAATCTCATTTCATTTGTGTAATCTCTAAAACTTCCTAAGTACATTTCAAAAATTTGTTTTCAGTTAAACTTTATATTTTATCTGTTATTTTCTCTACCATAATTCTATATGGGGTCGGTCAATTTGACCAACCTCGTAACCACCAAAAAAATAAATAAACCTAAATTACCCTTTTTTTCTTTCTAGAATGACTTAAAATTTTAACATGAAACAACATTTGTTTATCCTAAGAAGCTCTAGACTCGTAACAGTATACATCTATTTATAATTAAATTTTATTCTTTTA